CCCAGACACCCCCTCCCCCAGTTTGCGACCGCTGCTCCGCTTCGCCGCCGGAAGCCAGCCCCGCCCCCTCAACTCCATCCCGGCCCTCCATGAGCCCCCTCCCGTCCTCACAACCAATGGCGAGCCAGGGAGCCAGCAGAGCGACTCGCAAAGCAGCCAACTGGGGAGGCCCACTGGGAGGTCAGCTGCCGAGGATAGGCCAACTACCTGCGGCCCCGGCCCGGCCCGGCTCCTCTTTGTTAGAGCTGCCCCCATCTCTCTGGGCCCCCACCTCAAAGCCCGGAGTCCAGTATCCCATAGCTGGGCCAAGTGATGCCCCACCCCTTCTCCCGCTCCCCTGCCCACTTTCTGCCTGGGTAAACCCAAGCTAACCATCCAGGCGGTACCCTAGAGCGCCTCAGACTTCCACAGCAATAGCCACCTGGTGACACCCGACAGTAAAAAAAATGCTCCCCAGGTCTATATGCCTCGCCCTTCTTTTCTGACTAATCAACCCTTCATAACCGTGCATAGATTTAGGTTTGCATATTAGATCAGCTGCACACATCAATCAATCCACCCTGTCTGAAACTACAGATTGCCGTGCCGCAGAAATTAAGGGGTGCGGGGCGTATTGGGAAGGTATGTATCTGGAAGGTTGGTGGTGGTGGGAGGAGAGGGAATACATTAAATCATCTGCAAAAAAGAAACACCAAAAACACACACAGTTGACCCAGTTCAGACACAAGACATCCATTCCATTAAACCCAAGCTAACCGCTCCCTTAGCAGGTTTCAGTAAAACCAGGAAACAAACCTCTTAAGTCTTGTTCAAGCCATACACCTAATATGAGAAAAACTCAGCAATTGCCAGGCCTCGGCATAGCTGGCATGTTGCATCAATACATCAATCACAAATGCCAACGTTAGGGACATAACACTGCTGGAATAGAATATACTAATGATTGAAGGATATTTTCTTAGGCATAGTGGGGCTCACTTAAGACACAAGAAAAATGGGTATTGGGAAAAGCCAGCTATTACCAATATGATCATTTTTGTCCACAGAGTTCTGGCAACTAGTATTACATATCTAAATCACTACAATCCCTCTTAGTTCCCCAAGTACTATAATAATAATAATAATAACAACACTACAACAAAATACTTTAAATTTAAGTAGCCTTTTATTTTTAAAAATATATTTTTTTATTAATTTAGAGGAAGGGGGGAGAGGGAGAGAGAGAGAGAGAGAGAGAGAGAGAGAGAGAGAGATAGAAACATCAATGATTAGAGAGAATCATTGATTGGCTGCCTCCTGCACACCCCACACTGAGGATTGAACTATGACCTCCTGGTTCATAGGTCAACACTCAACCACTGAGCCAAGCCAGCTGGGCAAGTAGACCTTTCTTATATGGAGCTCAGAGCATTTCATATATATAACCTCCATCTTCTTAGAAGATGGAAAAGGAGCTGACAACACCCATTTTTAAGCCCGATATTTTTCCTAACCAAATTAAAAACTGTGGTTTAAGATTTATAGAGGAACCTCATTGGTGTCTCATAGGCTAGCTTATTAAGGTCCATATGTAAAAAATCATATGTGAAATTTTTATTTTATTTTAAATCCTGCCCACAAAAGTCTGCCAGATTAGTTATCAGGTGTGTCCAGCCCCTTCCCATCTTCTCCTAAACTAAAACGAAAATTCTCAAGAGCACAAAGCAGTTATAACTCTCCTCCACATCACTTAGTAATCCCCTGTCATTTTCCATATTAAAATAACTAAATAATACTGCAAGAAGCTGCTGTTTAAAATAGTGTACTCTTGCCCTGGCCAGGTAGCTCGGTTGGTTAGAGCATCATCCTGATAGGCCAAGGTTGTGGGTTCAATCCCTGATCAGGACACATACAAGAAGCAACCAATGAGTGCATAAATAAGTGGAACAACAAATCTCTCTCTTACCCTAAAATCAATAAACAAACATTTTTAAAAAGTAAAAAAAAAAAAATAGTGGCCCTAACCAGTTTGGCTCAGTGGATAGAGCATTGGCCTTCGGACTGAAAGGTCCCAGGTTCGATTCCGACTAAGGGCATGTACCTTGGTTGCGGGCACATCCCCAGTAGGAGGTGTGCCGGAGGCAGCTGATCAATGTTTCTCTCTCATCGGTGTTTCCAACTCTCTATCCCGCTCCCTTCCTCTCTGTGAAAAATCAATAAAATATATTTTTTTAAAAATAGTGTATGTACTCTTGATGTCTAAGGGAAACATCTGAGCCAGTACTTTCCCTCAGACTCTATAGCTTTCTTGACAAAAACAATTTTTTTTTCTTTAAGGAATAGAAACTAAAACTTAAATTCTTCCAAGATCATTCATGCACCAATTAATTTGTCAAGACATCAAAAACAAACATACCTGTCTTGCCATTATTATCACAAATGTTATTGATAATTGGATAATTCTGATAAAACTTCTAATATCCTCTTCTAAAACATAAACTAGGAACTCTTAGGGGGTTTCAAGTGCCTTAATGGAAATTAAAAAGTCAAACACATCTTGCCAAAAGTATCTATACAGTACAAGAAACCACAGAGGAATTATAACTGTTTAAGAAAAGATCACTGGGACACCCAAAACATTTCCTCCTAAACAGAAATTCAAGTCCAATACTTTTCATGTCCCGCAAATGTCCTCTTTCTGTATTATTACCACTACCCTAACAGAGACCCTTACCATATGTCTGTGGGGGCAACTATACTTCTAAGTCTCCCTTAGTCCACATACCATTGCTTTCATCCATTTGCTCTTTTTAAGAACTACAGAAACTGCCCTGGCCGTTTTTTCTAAGTGGTTAGAGCGTCAGCCCTCAGACTGAAAGGGTCATGGGTTCGATTCCCAGTCAAGGGCAAGTATCTGGATGGGAGTGGGGGGATTGCAGCTTCAATCCCCTGCGGCCCAGGTCTGGGTGCATATGGAAGGCAACCAATTGATGCGTTTCTCTCTCTTTCTCTTTCCTCTCCTCCACTCTCTCTAAAAAAAATTTTTAAAAAAGGGAAAAAATACCTTCAGGTGAGGATTAAAGAAAAAAAGACAGAAACAGTTCAATTTATTGTACATTTACTAGATGTGCAAGGCCCATACATATATATATAAAGTAATACATACATACATATACATATATACACATTTTTATTTTATCATAATAATAGCCCTATGAAATATAAATTTCCCGTTTTTACATATGAAGAAACTGATGTCCAGAGAGGTTATACTATCTGATCTAGGTCATATAACTGCACATAGCTGATAAATGGAAAAGTCAGTCAGTATTAGAACTTAAGTTTTCTCAAATCAATTTCTCTCTCCCTTTCCTCTCTCTAAAATCAATTTTTAAAAAAGGATTTATTCTCTTTTAAAAAAAAAAAAGAACATGAGTTTTCTGGCTTCAGATCAAATATTCCTATCCACTAAGCTATATCATGGCTTACTGGTGCCTATGTCAGCCAGCCAAGTTTCCACTCTGTGGCTGTTACATATCCTATAACCTGGCACTAGCCTATGTTATCAAACTTAACTCTCTACCTTTCCTCAGCATGTTTTCCCCACACCAGATTGTTCTGCTTGCTCACTGTCTGTATATCATGTTCATCCATTTTGAACTTTCTTGCCATGACTTGTAATGTTATAACCATCCCATTTAAATCCTACCCATTCTCCAAGGCCCAGCTCAAATTCCACCTCCCTTGTGGAGCCCACTTTGATGCTGTCAGCAATGATTCCTTTTTTGAATCACTACTACACAATTTACTACTTAATTGTTCTGTTGTCTAATGTAATTTGTCTTCCTAAGTTAGACTGTATGTAAATCAGAGCTAGTTTGTATTTGCCTTTATATCTTCTACCTCCCTAATTTAAAAAAATTTTGTTTTTTATTGATTTCAGAGAGGAAGGGAGAGCTAGAAACATCAATGATGAGAGAGAACCATTGATCAGGATGCCTCCTGCACACCCCCCACAGGGGATCAAGCCCACAACCCAGGCATGTGCCCTGTTCAGAAATCAAACTGTGGCCTCTTGGTTCATAGGTCGATGCTCAACCCCTGAGCCACTTCTTGCCATGACTTGTAATGTTATAACCATCCCATTTAAATCCTACCCATTCTCCAAGGCCCAGCTCAAATTCCACCTCCCTTGTGGAGCCCACTTTGATGCTGTCAGCAATGATTCCTTTTTTGAATCACTACTACACAATTTACTACTTAATTGTTCTGTTGTCTAATGTAATTTGTCTTCCTAAGTTAGACTGTATGTAAATCAGAGCTAGTTTATATTTGCCTTTATATCTTCTACCTCCCTAATTTTAAAAAATATTTTTTTTATTGATTTCAGAGAGGAAGGGAGAGGGAGAGAGAGCTAGAAACATCAATGATGAGAGAGAACCATTGATCAGGATGCCTCCTGCACACCCCCCACAGGGGATCAAGCCCACAACCCAGGCATGTGCCCTGTTCAGAAATCAAACTGTGGCCTCTTGGTTCATAGGTCGATGCTCAACCCCTGAGCCACAATGGCCAGGCATTCTCACTCCCCAATTTTGCCAAGTAAGGAATACATAGTAAAGTCCTCAATAACTACTTACACCAGTAAACTTCATAGCAAAAGAATGGTCCAAATCACTTAAATGAACCAAGTTCTCATAACAGCCACCAAAGCTGAAATCATTAATAACATTCTTAATTCATTTTCAAAATAAAACAAATACCTATAATCAAGTTCTCAATCTGCCACTACTAAATACTTATGCTTCAACAGTGTAACAGACAAAACTGATAGGAGGAACTTCAAGAGGCCTGGTAATGTTTCTTGATCTGGGAACCAGTTGCATAGGTATGTTCAATTTGTGAAAATCCATTGAGCTGTCTACTCATGTACACTTTTCTATATGTATGTTTTATCTCA